TTCAGGACAAGGAGATCTGACTGACAAAGGTGATAGGAGGTTGCAGCAGAGCTTTACGTTCCAGTTTGGTTTAGGTTTTGCTTGTGGGGAAAAAATAGTGTAAAACACTGCAACAACCCCCAAACTCACAGATGGCTAAACAGTCATTCTAAGTGGGCACGAAATATTTGCACCAGTGGAATGGAGTTGCCAGGAGGGAAGAGAGAGCCTAAAATTCTGGCTATTCTTTTCCAGTTTGTTTACCACATGCAGATTGCTCTGTTTTTGCCTTAAGCAAAAATGGCAAAAGCAACAGCAGTCCAGCACATAAGTCTCCAGCTAAGCTGTCCACCAATACAAAAAAAAATGAGCAAAAGCTGTGCAAATACAAAAAAATGAACGAAAGCTGTGCAAACATGGCTCATTTCAACTCTAGAAATGGATTGAAGTTGTGATCTGTTAACCTAAAATATTACAAAGTTGAATGTACTCTCTCAACTCCAGACCTCGGGATGCCTGAGCTAATGGTTTGGGCTTGGCTGCTGTCTGGTATTGAACTTCATGCAGATCCGGAAGGATCTGTGCTACTTTTAAAGGGCAAGTTGTCATTACACGGGTTTCGCGGTGCTTTCCTGGATACCAGACAAATGGCCATCCTCCAGATGCACTCTGCGCTAGTTTGTCTGGGGTTGTCTTACAGCATGAGCCCAGTTTATCACTGCAGCAAGCACACGGCAGTTTCTGCCCTTATTTGCACTGTCCTTTCCCTCTTCGTGAACTACGAAGTATCACCAGCTATTGCAATGCCAGGTCCAGGGCTGGCCTAAGGCAGACATCAGAGTGGACAGGCACTTTCTCTGCTGTCCAGAGACAACAAAACTCCTTCTGGCAAGAGTGGTTTGTTATCTAACAGCCTTGTTCCTTGTTGAGTCCACCTACCTCTCCTGTATCCATCACTTTCAGGAACTTCCTGAGACTCATGTGCAACCCAGCCTTTAGCTACCTCAGCAAGAGCATTGCTGTGCCACTGAACAGAGCTATGGCACTCACTGCTGTCTAGGTAACCGGCTTGTCTAAGTGTAAAAGAGAAAATAGAGTTTGATCTGGCACCTTCCAAATTAGGGGTGGGGGGTTCAGAATATTCCCCAAACATCCCAAGATCAAAGGCTTCTCTCAGATGGAAACAGGTACTTCAGTATGCTAGAGCCTGCCTCTGTTAAACAATTTTAAGCCACAGGAAAAAAAAAAAACACACCAAAACCTAAAACAACATCCAGGCCTGATTAAGGAAATATTTACAAACAATTTAGGAGCAAGGAAGGCAGCTTCATTATTTCAACCAGCTGCCTGATCAGCCCTGCTACCCTTGCAAAGCTGCTGGAGTTGGTGTTGTTGCATGATGTGTAGCAGTGTGAAGAGAAGCATCGATACCGGGTGGGGGAAAGAAGTGAGAGCAAAGAAACAGAAGCAGACACCATCATGAGCCTAGTCTCGTACACTGACACTCATAGCTTCTTTGCTACCTCCCATCCCCTTCTCCAGAGCTGGGGTAGCGATACCAGTACACCTCCTCCCGTTGACAGCTCCGTAGAGGGATTCGGGTGGTTTCTTTCTCCAGTTCTCAGGCAAAATGTCAGAGGAGCACTGCCCATGTGCTGATATGCTTGTAGAGCACCAGACACCATAAAGCCCTGTTCTTAGCTGATCCTCTGGCCGTATATGCTAAAATATTTTTGTTATCAGGCTTGTCATAAACAGAGGATCATGACTTCACTGAAGATCACAAACCTCTGCAAAGACAAGACAATTTTATCCTAAAAGAAACTGCAAAGATCTGGACTAGGTAGGAAAGCTGGGCTACCAATAACGCCATCTCCTGAAGAACTCTTCTTCCTCATTTACCTTAATGCAGCTGATCCCTTCTGTTTGAAAACAGGATCCATGTTTTAGTTATAGAGCAACACCTATGATACCAAGTTATAGAAATAGCTTCCAGAGCTGCCTTGCTCAAGAATTTCATTGTCCCAAGAGAAGATTTCTGCAGGATGACAGACACAGTGGATAATGCCTTGTCTTAAACTGGGCACTTAAAATATACCACCTTCTCTGTACAACTGCTGCTCAGTGCTGTGGTATAGCACTGTACAGGAAACAGAAAGCTAGATGCATGTTTAAAACTGTTAAAAAGGATTTATCAGTCTGGAGACAAATTTTGCCAGTATTTTATACTTGAAATACATTGAGCGTGGTGAGCATTGTTATTTCAGTCAGTTTGGGCTCCTGTCCAGTACTTCTAAAAAAACCCTCATAGCTAACGTGCAGCATGACGGGATGGTCTTTGGCGAGGGACATCCAGGCAGTTAATTTAACTGTCACATCGGTGTCTTGTAATGGTACAGTTTTAGAGCCTGGCTCACTGTGAGCAACTAAACACCACTCAGAAGAAAGGCCATTTCAGGACTTTGTTGAAAAACCCACTGAGCCTGGAGGACTAACAAAGTCAGCAACAGTTGAAACAAGGTTAGCAAAATGGCCTGAAGTCCTTTTTATTTTTCTTGGCAAACCCAAAGGATCTGTTAATGGAAATATCATTTCTGTAAAATATTTCTAGACTTAAAAGGCACTTGTAGGAACTGGAACGGGGAGGAATAGGATGAATTTTACCTTTTGTGAAGTGAAGATGAAGATGCCAGTGTTGAAAGTGGGAAGGGCAACTTTAACATAGACCTGTGAATGGGTGTAGCAGTTTGTTTGTTAGAGCAAATACCCTTCTTTCCCTTTAACAGTATTCAGTCACTAGCTATGGACGTGTACCTCAACTTTGTCTGTATCTACCCAACACTTTTTGAAAGGGTGTTTTGAAGTTGATTGCCTTTATCAATTAGAGAGGTTAGGCAACAGAATGAAATTATCAGATAACAGATGTTAAAATCAAGGAAATACTTTCCCCCCCTCATAAAAATCAAGGTGTAGAACTTCTTGCTGCAGCAAACTGTGGAATCTACAAGTATAGTTCTGATTAATAAAAGGGATGAGACAAAATTAATGGAAGCTAAATCCATAAGTGGTTATTGCAGATACATAGCCTGCAGCTCTGGAGGTCTACTTAAAAAACCCCAAATAACTACCCAAACCAACAAACAGTAACTATGAGAAGATAGGAGTTCGTAAACAATGGAAGGATCACTGTCTATATGCCCTCTTTCTCCAAGCATCTCCTGTTAGTCACTGGCTCATACCATGTGGTGCCCAGTGCACTGTGCATCATCCAGAAGGTGCATGAAGGGAGCAGAACTTTGTGGGGGAAGGAGTACCCAGCTATGTGACTGAGAGCTGCGTTACACACAGACTCACAAACAGCAACAGTCCCTGCTATGATGCTTATTAATACTTGAGTGTTTAACTATGTCAACTCAAATGCTTTTGTGGTTTTTATGATATATATTAAAAATAGAGTAAGGAAGGGGTCTGGGCAAATGCAGACTTATTTCTGAACTACACAGTTAATAGACATTATGGTCCAAATGTTGCTAGACTTAATGGTATTCCTTCCTCCCACTCATACTTTCCTCCCAGTCAGTTCTGCCTTGAAATTCAGCCTGTCAATCAATTGCAGACATTTCTTATAGTCTAGATTATTTCCTGGTTTCTTGTCTTCAAACATTTACATTCCACAAGCACCAAAACCTGTCCACAGTACATAAAAGTTTATAGGTTTGAAGTGCATCATTAGCGATACTGTTTTTTCTAACACCTCAGAAATCAGTTTTACATTTTTTAGCCTATGTATGCATAATAGGATTTGCTTCCTAAGTCTCTTTACTCTTGTCACTTTTGTATGTGAAATATTTCAGAATAACCCAACTAATAAAAAGTCCAATTCCACTGTAGAAGTAAGAGAAACTTTGTTGTCTGCCCATCTCGCCTTTATTTCCTCCCCACTTTTGGTTGCTATTCGCTCTGCTTCAGGACCAAAAGTCCAGCTGCTCTCTAAACACTGCTCAGGACATGTGGCAACAAACAGCAAATGAGTTCCAGTGAACACTGATGAGCCACATTCTTCCTAGGTATTCACACAGGCATTCAGCCAAGCACTTTGATACTTTGCTATGGTACAAGAGCAGTCATTTTCACAATGAAATCTTTCAGCTAGAATCTACAGAATCGAGCAAAAATCTCAAAACCCATAGAGATTACTGCAGGTTGAAGAATGCAACACATTTAGTCTGCTCAACAGATCTGAAGAAAGTCTCTCTAGAGACCTGCATAGCACAAAGCATCAGCAATACAACCATCTCTCATACTGTTTTTTTCAAAATCCCTAATCTTGGTCTGGGATTGTTGAGCTGCTTCACACTTTTGATATCCAGCCATCAGAAGATTTGCAGCACCATTGAACCCCAAGCATACAGAGGGGTTTCTGGTACTCACAGAGTTGAGCCACAGCACACACTGTTACTAATCTCAGAAAGGTCAAACACTTTTCTGATACAAGGTTTTGGTCATTTACCAACCTAAGCAGATAAAAAAAGAAAAAGGCAATTGTGAGCTATCATCTAAACTCTTAGACTGTTTGGATGTTCTCAAGAGAATTCTGTCAAAAAGTCCAAAAGGTCTGAGGGAAACTGAAAGGAATTATCATTTAATACTGACAACCTATCTAGAAGACATTAGGATTGTGTCTTTACTCAAAAGAGGCATTTTAGAACATCAAACAAAGTAAAGGTCATGCAGTGCTACAGAATGAGGCCTTCTGGTGCACAGCGTCAACCTCCAGATTGCCCACATGCATTTCAACTGACCTACAAAGCTGTGTCAATACCATACTCCATGACCTGCCAAGTCAGCTCTGTGGAAAGCAAGTAGGGGGATATCAAAACAGCATGCACCACGTGAGCGGGACCACCAGATTCAGCCTCCAAGTGCCAAGCAGGCTCTGGCTCAAGCAGTGTAGGAGAAGCATGCTCCTGCCCTCTCCTTCCCATGCAAGTCGGAGCAAGTTTCCCAGAAAGGGACGAAGCCATTTTTATTTTTATTTTTTTAAACTAAATGCTTTTAATAGAAAACAAAATACAAAATAACTCTTTCCAGAAAGCAGAAATATTTAATCTCTCCAAATGACAAACTAGAACGTGCTTTTTCCGTGGATCCTTGTTGTAAATGCTGATGATTTATCTCACAAAGTGTTCATGAAACGGATATTGCAACATTTTGAGAAAAATCCAACACTGGCAGAGCTGCCTCTGTGTACGCACAATAATTTAGTAATACTATTCTTTCCCATGTCACTTTGTGTGTCTGTCTCTCTCTGTCCCCCCTTCCCTAGACTGCCAACTTCCATTTACAGAAATATTTCTGTGCGGTACAGTGGTGGACTGACATGCCCCATTTCCATCAGGAGTCCAAACTTAGCTGTTTCGGTTCTGTTGTGCCCTCCCTCCAGACAAGGCAAGCCATTTATTACGCTTAAAGCTACTGCTCTACCCCCACTGTCCTCTCACCCTCAAAACACAGTGCAACCAGATTCAGAAAGATTCCCAATTAATGGAACATAAATACAAATATCACAGCTAGTACAAGGAACCAAACCCAAATGACAATGCAGAGATGGGCCCCGACTGAGGTCAGATTTCTATCCCCTCACTAAAAAGAAAGATGATATTTTCTACTTAGCTAGTCCAAAATATTCCAGAAGTGCTACAAGGGAGCTGTAATATTTAAGACCACTATCACTGTAGAAAACACATGATGTTCTTTTAATAGAAGGGTCTTAAAATGCTGGTCCTCTGCAATACCAGGAAAACAAAAGCAAAACAAACCAAAAAACACTGGGCCAGTAGTTCTCTGCACACTCAAGCCTCAGTTAACAGTAGGTAAGATGTGCCCATCAATGAATGAAGGATATTTAAGTGCAGGTCAGCAGCTTATCTGGTTGGCAGTTTCACTTGTCTGGACCAGGCTTTTGGTTTCCCCAAGCTACTGGATTTACTCCACCCTTCCCCATCCCTACAAGTACAAAGTCAGAATGTATACGTATTTTCATCACTCCTCTTTTCTTCATTCTGTTCAACAGCACAGATCTTTTTGCGGGCAAGACATTTTGAAGTATTTGCATCACTCTGAGCATGCCTTTTAAAGGGGGCAGAGGAAGGAAAGTGTTTCACAGTCAGTAATCTCAGCTTGCAATGGACTCTGGCATTCAATACACCCACCCGCTTCCCTAAGAAAAAAATTAATGTTCCTGATTTTCTTGTGCAATTCCAGTCACTAGAAGAAGATTACAGGCCATAAACTGTACGCTCAGTACATTATTCATTTGTCCGGTATATACACCAACCAATTCACTGGAAGACCCATCTGCAGGGGCGTTGCAGTAAGTGTTCCGTATGTCCCAGACCCGGACTGAATTGTCCATTGACGCTGAAGCAATTAAACTACTGTCGGGGCTAAAAGTAAGGCTGGTTATGTTGTCCGTGTGCCCCCTCAGTTCTTTGTAAAGAGTTCCTGATGCCAAGTCCCACAGCTTTAGCCGCTGGTCTTCACCTGCTGATGCCAGGTACTTACCATTGGGAGAAAATGCAAGCGCTAGCACAGGGCCACGGTGCCCGGTGAAAAGACGCACCGAATTGCCTTGCTGAGTGCTCCACAATCGCACAGTTTTGTCTGTGGAGCCCGTTGCTAAGTAGTTGGAATTGGGGTGGAATTTGACACAGTCTACATCCGCCAAATGGCCTGCGTATATTCGCATTGGATACGTCCGATCAAATGACCAGAGCCTTGCAGTGCGATCATGGGAACCACTGGCAAAGTACAGGCTGCAGGGGCTAATATCCAAATCCCAGACGGGATAGGCATGTCCTTGGTACAACACAGTGTTTGTAAAACTTCCGAGGTCCCAGTATCTGATGGACATGTCCTCAGAACAAGATAAGAGTCCTGAACTGTCTGAAAGGAACCTCGTGCTATACACAGGTCCACAGTGTCCTCTCAGGATCTTCATTTCTGTGCCTGCACTGTCGTCCTCTTCCTCCTGGTTGGGGAGGAGAAAAAGAAACAGAAAAAGGAAAGCATGTTTATCTGTTCAACAAATACAGGAACCACTGTGAGGAAAACAGGTGGGTGCTAATACAGAAGAAGTTATTTTAGACATGGCACATTTTGTGCAACTCAGACACAAATGCTGCTAGCACATTTGCTACATCTAAGTTAATGCTGAAAGAGATGGAGAGGTAAGACTTTATATAAAGGTTTTATCTTCATTTTGGAAGGCACTTTAACCTGGGACTGTAAGCAAATAGGCGCAAAAAAGAAATATTTTATGACATTTTCCACTTGCTAAAACATATGCTTATTCCCTGTCCACTCTACTAAACTTTTGACTAAGATGTTGAAACAGATCTTGGCATCTGATCTTTTGGTGTGGTCATTATTGGAAATGAATCTCACAGTAGAGAAACACAGATGTTTTAAACAAAAGGCAGGGGATGGAAAGACAGAGCATATTTGACAAGCTGTCTGCCGGGCATTCTTTCTCAGCCCCACACATGAACAGAAACCCAGAAAGGCCATAATATCTATTTCTCCATGTGAGCTCCATCAGGATGCTTTCATTTCCTCACCCTTCAAGAACAGCCTTCAAGAATAGCAAATGTATGCAGCTTATTTAGGTCAAAGGATCTATTTTGGGGTAGAAGATGATGAATAATCACAAAAAGGATGGCACTGGAAACCTTTTTAACCTGTAATTTTCCAACTCAAGTAGCAGTGCAGATAGTCAACAAGTAAAGGCTTTCACATTTAAAGACTGTTCAGTGAGCTGTGCTAAAGGAATCTCCTAATGGAGGGTAAGAGTCTCTGAAAGGCTAGTCAAGTATCACCTCTCAACATTCAAAGGCTACAGACGGCACAAGTATCAACAAATCTCAACTCAAGAGAGTGCCCTTGCCTGACAAGCTGGGGTCTCACTGGCAGAGTGCTGCAAGATAGCTATGGCTTGGGGAGGACTGTCAGGCACTTCTTAGCTCAAGACCACACTTCCTCAGGACTGTCAGGCACTTCTTAGCTCAAGACCACACTTCCTCAGGACTGTCAGGCACTTCTTAGCTCAAGACCACACTTCCTCAGGACTGTCAGACACTACTTTTCCTCAGTAGTGAACACTCATCCACCAACAATCTCTGCACACCAAATTCAACACAACGCCCTTTTGTTTGTGAGCAGCCCCTTTAACTTTTATCATCGCAAACTGGCCTGTTTCCTGCTGAAGGAGCACTTCCTGCCCTGCGAGGAAACCCAATTCCCCAGGGCTGCTGGACAGCTGATGACCCCAGCATAAGTCAGTACTGGTGAGCAGCTCTCTTGGCTGACATGGCATCTCTCATCCCTGTGACCTCAGGACCCACAGACAGTTTTGCTTCAGACTTAACAACAGTTCTGAAAGGCCCTCTCCTCCAGTGGTTTCAAATCTCACATCAGAGGTGAGCAAATACTGACTTAGCTAGCTTGCTCACTGACTTTCTCCATCTCAACTCCATGTTTGTAGTAGGCAGCAAGCTGTGTTTAGCAATGCTAATTCTCTTCAGAGTAGTCAGTGCCCATGGGAGTTTTATGATGTGGCTGGGAGCCAACTTCATCTCTACTACAGAGGTGAGGCAGAGAGAAATTGCAGGCTCTAGCATGCAAAGCCCCATTCTTATTCAAATTGCTGTTTCTACCCCAGATAGAGCATTGCTTGCTGGAATCCACAGCATCTCTAGGCTATGTTACCACATTACAAGTAGAGAAGCTGATACCTGCAGCATTTTATACTACTTAATTATGACCATAAGATTCCTGACAAGTTACCAGTGGAAGCCCACTTAAGTTACCTGTATTGTACCATAGTTTCTGTAAATTCTGTAAGTCCAAGCACTTAATTTTATGCCTTCCAATTCATACAGGGCTACTTGGGCTGTCTGCAAGCACATACTCTTTCTCTTATAAGCTCTTACCTTCTTTTCTTGTATTACAGTTGCAGCTTATTTGACAATGCCTTCTGCAGCATTCAAAACCACACTTCTATATGGTCACAGGTAGCAAATCTTATCTTTGACTTCTGTTTGACACCCACTTAGCATAACAACTGCACACTGCTGTTATAGCTCAATGAAAACGGTATACCTATAATGCTTCTGAGTCACTAAATTTTTCCATTTCCTCCCTATCCAAGTTAGTCTGCTGACCAGATTAACAAAGCAGCTGGAAGCACAGCCACTAAATTACTGCCTTGCAGAACCAAGGTTCATGTCTTTGTTAGATCAAGCACATTCTTCCTTGCACCCCACAGCTACTACCACATAGATGAGCATTTGCAGCAGCTACAGAAAGGTTGCAACTTGTGTATAAGTCAGCAGGGAGGCAGGGAACCCCTCTTCTTAATATTTTTTCAGGATTCCAATTTCACACACTGAATATGTTGCCTGGATAGAGCATACCTGGGCACTATGCAGATAACCATTACAGAATCACAGAATCATCTAGGTTGGAAAGGACCTTGAAGATCATCCAGTCCAACCACTAACCTAGAACTGACAGTTTCCAACTACACCAGATCCCAAAGCACTACGTCAACCCGACTCTTAAACACCTCCAGGGATCGGGACTCCACCACCTCCCTAGGCAGCCCCTTCCAATGCCTAACAACCCCTTCTGGAAAAAAATGCTTCCTAATACTTGCGTTCTACAGTGTCATTGGCTCTCATGATGACCAGTGTGTATAAATGAAAATATGGGGGGTTTTTGAGCTGCTTTTGTTGTGTGGAATTTTTTTTTTAGCATTATTAGCTCCTTCTGAAGGGACTGCTGCTGCAGGTTAGCATGAATTATTTGTATTTCCTTGGAATGGACAAGAAACTAAGTTATATAAGCCTATTTTAATCAGTAACCTACACACACTAAAAGCTACCTTCTATTATTTGAACTATCAATTTTGTAAAGAAGAACTATCAAACCAGATTTTAAGTAATAGAACAGAAATGACAAACCTACCAACACTACTAAAATGAGCTAAAAAGAAAATTTAATTTGGTCTTCAATAGTGAATACGAAATCTTCCTGAGCAAGTACAAGACTCCCCCAAATTACATTTCTGAGAAACTAAGAAGAAAAATGTTGCCATGTTTTGTTACACAGGACACCTTCCAAATGATACACCTATGGACAGACTGCCCAACTCCTCAGCTATTACTTACATCAGTAATCGATTTTGCATGCCAGTCATTTGGACCCAGAAAAACTTACTGATGATACATTTAACCTTGTGCGCAGCAAACATTATCCAGCTGACAAAAATTATCTTGATCTTCCACCCAGCACAAGCCTCAAGGGAATGAGTAAGCCTCAAAAAGCAACAACAACCTCAACAAAATAAAAATGCATCTCACCTCCCACTCTCATTTCCCCCCACCCCAACTAGTAACAGGTTTCCCTGGGTGTCATCGTTTCTCTCATCCTGCAGTGCTCTTAGGATGTCAAAAGGGAAGATCTCTTACCTGCCTACAGCAGGGATCTCCTAGCAGGGAAAGATGAGGGAGTAGATACCATGGCTCTCTTTGCAGGACATTTCTTACTGCTCCTCCCAGAATTCCCTCCCATCTGCCATCCACCAAGGTCAGCATCATCCCTGCTCATTACCACTTGAAGGACTACCGCCCCTTAAAAGCAGAGCTGAATGGGGTCAAGTCTTAGTCTTCACAGAATTTAAAGGCTGCCACTCTCATGGCTTAGAACAGAGAGTATTATTTTCTGTTGTTGATTTATGTAGTACCACTGATGAGCATGGCAAAATTGTGAAGAGACAAACAATTTGCAACAATTGCAGCTGTGCAAACAATCCAGTTGCACAGCTGCAAAACTGCATTTTTATACTGGACCTTAAGTAAGAGAGACTGAAGTGGCATTTGTGAGATGCTAGTATAAAGAAAACAGAATTACTTTATCCCAAAATAGGAATCTCCTCCTATTTCCAAGAAGCAAGACAACACTGAAGTGCACTGGGGCATCAGATTGATCAGAAATCACAACTACACCCAGCAGACAATTTTGACCATAGCAACACAAAGGCTTTACATGGACTAGGAAAAAAGTAATTCCTAAAGCTTTTGCCAAGTCTCAACCTCATTTTATATATATATATATATATATATAAATCCAGTG